TCTATCCATGGATGAATGGATGTTGGATAATGGATAATTTGGGGGACCATTGACAGTGAGCCCGATATGGTCTCCCGTTCCGATGCAAACTGACTTCAGTTTGTTGTTGACTGCAATCAAAACTCCACCTCCGTGCTCCTTTTTATGTATTTGGTCCTTTTCTGTGATTGATGAACGGTCACATCGATAGACCTCGTACATTGGTGGAAAAACGTCGTCAGAACTGATTGCATCACTTAAATGAGTTTCGCGTATCATGTAAATCGACGATTTTCGAAACCATTATCTCAGCCGCAAACTCCGAAATTTTTGTTCGTAAACCATTCACATTTTGTGAATGTATATTTATCTGCGTTGAAAATTTTTCATCATTAAATTTATGCGTAGCACTCAATTCCCCTTGTGGAGAACATATACTGTAATTTTTTAAATTACCTGAGTGACTAATGTTCAAATCCATCGATGAAAAACTTGCAGATAAGTTTGAGCTGTTATTTATGGTTAACGCCACCGTTGCCAGCGCTGAGCCGGTGGCCGATGGTTGAGACGAGCCTGACGAAAATCCTCATATCTCCTCTCATAATCGTCGAAACATTTTTGGCAACAGCAATTATCAAAGTGTTGTGCATTTTTCGACGGTTGTCCACATAATTTAGTCTTTGGAAAGACCTGTTGACCGAATTTTGATGGAATTGCGGACGATTATCCCAACGGCTGCCCGATCCAAAATCGCCATAAAATCGAGTGCCGTTGCATTTTTTTCCACTACAGTTATGTTTGTTCATTGTTGTTCAGCGAATACGAAAATGGTTGTGTTATCGTGCAACAGATGTCGCTGTTTGTAGTGAGTGTTATGCCGGTTGTGTGTAGGTTATGTTTGCTACACAAAAACACAAGTCACTCACATACACGATTCACTAAATGATTTTACAACAATTTTCACACTTTTCCGCTGTTCTCCACTTTCCTCGAATGCAGCGTATTTTGTTCTTGCGATGTGTATAGTTTTTGTTGCCGTGCTTTTCGTTTTTTTATTTTAAATATTCGTTTTATCTATTTTATTTGGCTCGGTAAAAAAAATGCAACCTGTCAAGGCAACCTGTCAAATATAATCAAAAACAGATAAATACAAAATGTTTGTTATGGATTAGTAGTTGCAAAATTAATTTATGAATATTATATTATTTACATGCAAGGAGAGAAGCAATAATTTTTCAGTTACACTCTAAAAAAAACATTCAAGAGTATTAGCTATGTAAAAGGCAATCGCACTAATAAAAAGGGCTGAAAAAGCGTACCAAATTGCAAAATTGTTATTTAACAATTGCAGTGTTCTTTTCGACCAATTGAAAAACTGCATTTTCCACCAATTCCACACTGCATCTTCATTGTTTTGCTGACGCATTTCGTATGATATTCTAGGCTGTATCCGAGAAAAGGAATAAAAAAAGCGTGAATATATTGAAAGTTTTTGAAATTTTGATTATATAATTATCAAGCGAAAGGAAATGTTTAACACGAATGAATTATACATGTATTGCAATTACCGGAGAGACTAGAACCGGACGAAACACCACGCCACCCCCTTCATATCTACCTTTGAATTTTTCCGTATTACCAATGAAGAATTCATATGCATCACGAATTTTTATTTTAAAAATCTGGCCATTTAAACCGGTCATACCTCGGACCTGAAAAGATAAAAGAAAAAACTCCAACGAAAATTTTTTGTGCAAGATCATTCAATTTGAAATAAACTCTTTTGAATGAATTCATTATACCCGGAAAAAGGTTATATAATCACCATCTTCAAGTCCATGTCTTTCGTGGCATTCGACGAAGCCTTTTTTTGCTCTGGTTATACGCTTCACTCGTAATGAGTTTTCTGGCAAATCACCCATTTCAAAACACTTTGATGTTTTGGTATTAACTTGAGAAAAAAAAACACAAAGAGAATATAAATACCAAAAAAAACGGGATGCTCTTATCTGAGAATAAACATCTTCAAATCACCACAAAAACCACTCATTTGATTTTTCCGTATTTTGCGAAACGAAAAAAAATAGACAAAAGACAAAAAAGCAATTAGATCGAATTAATCTTTCGATTTGACTTTAAACATGCAAATAATGTGACGGCAAACAAAAGAATCGAGCAGATAATATGTGGTCACAACAACGAACGAAACGAAGAATAAACAGAACCGACAACCGACGACTAATTAACTTCATTTTATATTAAATTACTTGCGAAAAATTATATTTGTTGAACGGAGTTTCGAGAGACATCTGTAGCACAATAGCACGACTATTTCCGTAAAACCGAATCAAAAATTGATATTGCAGTTACTTGTTTGGGGGGCTTTGACAGCTGACTTTGACAGACGAATTTTTTTTGCTGAGCACCGTATTAATTTAATAAAATACGTTTTGAAAGTAGAAAAAAACAACCAAAAATAAAAGTTTTTGCATAAAACAGCAGAGAAACGTGTGGTGCACAAAAATAAATTGAAGTTTTGCAACAAAAACCAATTTAAAAGTGAAATATTTTGAAAAAGTCGAGGGAAAAAAACACAATATTAAGTGAAATGCATTGTTGTATGGAACAAAAATGCAGTGCCCTAAATTATGCGGAAATATACTTGACGTGTAAATTTTGTGCAGGAAAAGTGTATATTCAATGCATAAAAGAAAAACATTCAGCATTTAACGATTTTTTAATGAAATATGACGTGAAAACACAAACGGCCGACGGCAAATATACAGTTCCAAAGGACAACACACAAGCTATCGCAAATTAGCTATATTTGTTTAAGAGCGATTCTCCGTTAGGTATCTCGTGTGAAAAGTGCACAGAAAAATTAAAAAAGAACGTAGACAACAATGAGAACAACGATGAGAACATAACAAAAATGGCAAACATAATTGGCGACAAAATTATAAATGCATTGAACAATAAATGTGAAGATCGTGAGAATGCCGGTGAAACGTCAAAACCATACATTGCAGCAAACAAAAGTGTTAGCGTCTATTCAATTTATGTGAGCAAATTTGATAGAGACACAACAGTTGATGACGTAGTTGCAAGAATTGTGGAAAAGACGAATGTTGTTCCGGATTTGTTTAGTGTGGAGAAACTGACAATAAATCGATACAAAGGAAAAAACAAGAAGTTCGTTGCTTTCAAAATCAACACGTTAAAGAAATCGATTTATGACAGAATCATCAAAGATTAAGTGTAGCAGCCAGAGTACATCGCAAAGCAATTTGTTGACAGAAAAGATGGTGGCAAAATAGGAAAACAAACAAAACCAGCAAAACCAGTAACACATCCACAAAAAACGAACAACAAAGAATAAACCAATTTCAACGAAACAATTTAAACTTTGGCAAGGATATGAATGAGGGATCAATGCATCGGCGAGAGTATCAGTACCAGCAACTGTATATGAACCATAATGCACAAATGAATCATCACAATTATCAACCAAATTGCAGATGTTACAGTTGTTTCATAAATTTTCAAATCGGAAAATTACATCCACCATTGATACACAATCCACCAAAAATACACCATCCACAATACAGCCAATTTATGAACGGACAAAACAACTTCAATTACCAACAATATTAACTCAAAACGTCAATGGATTACGTTCAAGATTGCCGGAATTTCTTGCAGAAATTTTGGCCTTGAATTTCGGTATTTACAAGCTTTGTGAGACTCGATTAAATGCACACATCAATTCAAAAGATGTTTTTCCACCAAATTTCAACGTTTATCGATGCGACAGAACAACAATTACTGAAGCAAAACAAACCACAAAGAGATTCAATGGTGGCGGTGTATTGATCGCAGTTGATAAGGCGATAAAATCACAAATTATGAGTACAGGAGATTCCTATGGTGCAGAATAAGTATGGGTCAAAATCATGTGCAATAGAAAAAACATTATTTCGACAATATGACTGCAATCAGAGAAATTGCAGCATCACTGAGGCCAGACGATGTGCTTCTCATTTCAGGAGACTTTAAATTGCCAAACTTGTTTTGGTTTTTTGATGAGACAATGATCAAAATGGTCATATGCTGGATCTGGTTTGGACGAATGATGTAGAAGATATGACGTGTGTCATGAGCGAAGTTCACTTGTTAAATTATAAGTCTCATCATCCATCGTTTGAAATAAAACTACATGATTATATTCACCATCAACCAAAGTCCAATCGTTTCTACTATGATTTCCGGAATGCAGAATACGATGAAATCAACAAACAGTTTGTTGAGAAGGATTGGGACAACATTTTGAATAGACCATCTTTTGACATCAAATTAATAATAATAATAACTGCACCGAACAGCGTTCCTTCGCCTTGGTGGTTTATTGAAAATATTATAATTAAATAAATATAACACAATATAATTCAATTTTTATCAAGCATTTTTGAGAGTGTAACTGAAAAATTATTGCTTCTTTCCTTACATGTAAATAATATAATTCTCATAAATTAATTTTGCAACTGCTAATCCATAACAAACATTTTGTATTTATCTATTTTGCTTTAAATAATTTTCTATTCTTTGTTTAACTGTTGATAAATTTATTTCTAAATCAATTATACTTTTATCACTGTTTTGCAATTTTTTGGCATAAAAATCGTTGAATGATGTAAGCATATAATTTATTGGCTCATATTTTGTGTAATCAGTTCTCCTTATTGGTAAATCAAATAGTGGTGTTGCTCTGGTGTCATGTGCTGAATCATAATAATTAATACTGTTTGAAACATAAGTTGACCTTAAATCTCCGTGAATAATTTTGAAAATAAAAGACACTTGCGCCATCTTGCGTCTCTCCTCAAGAGTAATCATTTGCAGAAATAGTAGTCTGTGTTCGTATTTTGGCAGTCTAAAATCATTCCAGGCCATTCTCCTCAGAGCATATATCAAAAATTGTTATTGTATTGACTCTATTCTTTTGCACATATTGTCGTAGTGTGGATTCCAAATTTCAGATCCATACTCAATAATCGGTAATATAAATGTAAAGTAAAGGCGTTTTAAAGTCCATGGGTCGACAAAATCCGTGCTGTTGAATTTTAACCAAGCAAATCGTGATTTTGCCTTTGCAACAACATGCTCAATGTGTGATTTGAAATTCATCTTTCATTGGAATCATTTTATTCGACAATCAACACTATCATTACATCAAACGTCAATCAAAAAGTAATAAAGTCTTCGATACATCTAAAATGGTTTAGCAAATCATTACAAAATCAAAAAACCGAAGTAAACAAATTACATCGAATAATGAAGAAAAACAGTTCAACTAAAAATAGAAGGAATTACAACGATGCCCGTCGCTTTTACAAACAAAATGCACGATCAACATATAGGGAGTACAAATTGCAGATGGAACAACTGATCGACGAAGATCCAAGGAAATTCTTTAATTTTGTCAACCAAAAAAAGAACAAGTGTGAAGATCTACCAGCTGAAATGGAATACTCTTGAGGAGAGACGCAAGATGACGCAAGTGTCTTTTATTTTCAAAATTATTCACGGAGATTTAAAGTCAACTAATGTTTCAAATAGTATAAAATATTATGATACCAGAGCAACACCACTATTTGATTTATCAATTAGGAGAACTTGACGTACGACAATGTCATTTCAGCGGTCTTCCGTGTTTTTCATACAAGCTTCCCATATAGATGGTATAAAAAATCGCGAAAAATGAAAAAAATAATTAAATTTTTTTTCTTCGATTCTCAAATATTACTCAATTTTCTGTATCACCTGGTGAAATCAGAATGAAAAAAATCGCATTCCATATCATCTAAATCACGATCTGGACTTTTTTCACTGTTTGAGTGCTCTATACCGAGTCTCCGAGAGTTTCATATAAACTTGCTATGTGATACCTATTGAATAGATTTTTTCTCAGTTCACATACATATAGTACATAAAATTATGATTGAAATGTCCAAAAAAAAAAACTTTTTCTCAAACTGTCCCCCGAAAAAATTTCTATGAATAGGACTCAAAAAAAAGTGAAATTTATTGCAAATGAAAATGGCACTTAGGAAAATTTACATGAATCTTTTTTGTAGGGACATTTTAGTTTGAAACAAATATTCGGGACACTTTCATTTGAAATAATTCTGCGGGACACTCCAGTTTGAACCAAAATTAAGTTTCATTATTATTCTTAACCATTCAAATGTACATACATTTTTGTTTCATGATTATTTTTAAAGAAAAATGTGATTCATTTTAATATGATAAATTAAAAAAACACAAAAAATGGAGAAAATAAATAAAAAAAATTTCTTCGATTCTCAATTACTACTAAATGAATGTGGTAGAATAAAAACTACTTCTCGAAAAATTGAGGAAAAATCTGTTCAATGGGTATCACATAGCAAGTTTATATGAAACTCTCGGAGACTCGGTATACGTGTAGCACTCCAAAAGTGAAAAAAGTCCAGATCGTGATTTGGATGATAAGGAACGCGATTATTTTCATTCTGATATCACCAGGTGATACAGAAAGTTGAGTAGTATTTGAGAATTGAAGAAAAAAAATTTAATTATTTTTTTCATTTTTCGCCATTTTTACCATCTACAAGGGAGGCTTGTATGAAAAACACGGAAGACCGCTGAAATGGCGCATGCAAAATATGTACGAACGTAAAACAGTGCCATTTCAGCGGTCTTCCGTGTTTTTCAATTGCTTCCCTTCCGAATAAAGTAATAAAATATTGAAATAAGGTGTATTTTGAGGTTGGTCTCTTTCAAGAGCTGTAACTTATAGGTCCGTGAACGGATTCGTCTGAAGTTTTTCCAGTATTTTTCTACAAACTTGCATAGAGCAACTCATGTGACTGACGTTCGTTTTTAAGCGCAAATGACAGAAAAAATTCAATGGTTAATGATAAAATTTGTATAAATTCATTTGTAATGTAAAAAATAACTTTTAATGCCATCTAATCGAAAAAACTATGAGCTTTCTTTTTATATATATAAATTTAAGAATATTCGAGTATAAATTCGTTTTTTTTTTTTTAAATACAAAGCAAATGTCCGATAACTGGGTGCTGTTCGGTAACTGGGCACATTACGTTATTTATAATACAATAAAATGTCGTACACATCCGTAAGATGAACTTTTCCGCACTGTGATCCACAACATGGATTTATTACGAATATTTTACTTAAAGAATTCACGAGAAAACGTAATCTGACATTAGTTTTACGATAAAAATAATTTTCAAAGCAGTTTTCATACAAAAACTACTAAAAATGGGAATTTTTGTATCGCAGGCATGCCTACATGATATCGTAATCATGTGAAAATTTGCATGGGTTATTTTTTTCACAAAAAGTTAACATTCTGAAAGTTTGAAGAAATTGCAATGCATATTAAGGGTACTTCCCATACAAAATTTCGTTTTTGAGCGAAAAATCCAAAATTTTGTTCGGGAGGTACCCCTAATATGCGTTGAAATGTCTTCAAACTCTCAGAGTGGTATTTTTGTGTGATAAAAATAACCTGTCCAAAGTTTCAGCTCATTACGATATCATACAGGCATGGCTTTCATACAAAAATCTAATTTTTTTAAATTTTTGTATGAAAAGTGTGTCGAAAGCTATTTGTATTGAAAAAATAACGTCATATTTGGTTTTCTCGTATCCAAAAACCCCCCAATACACATTTTTGAGTGTATACTGTATACATTAAATATCACTTTTGGAAGAAAAATTAAATTTTTCCCATGGATGCCCATGGGCATCACACCAGACATGACACTTCTTTCTATCAACCAAAGTCGCTCCGAATCTAATGTCCCCCAATTATCCTGTGAAGTCAGATTTTGAATTACTTTTCTTTTTTGAAAGTTATCGTGTTAACAAATTTTTGCGTACAGCGTACAGGGTACGCACATACATTTGGACATCGAAAAAACGGTAGATTCGTGTTCCCTGGCCCCAAAAACACCCAGAAAACACATTTTTGATGGGTGTTAATTTTTCGACCGATTTTTCACGGTATTAAAATTATTAAGTTTACTCACACTGGTGACTTCAATTCAACAATCTGTCTGAGCTGCGGATCAATCGATTCATCAAGTGTTGAAATATTCGGATCAAATCGATACAAAACGCACGTATATTAGGGTGTAGCATTTTTCAAACATTTTAACGGCGAGGGTTATAACCTTGGCTATGGGATCCCCTGATCACGAATCAGGCGTTTTTTTGCGAAAAAAATATAAACTGAGATGTCACGGCTCAACGGCGAAGTATCAAAAATGGGAAAAATTTGGATTTTTTTGAATTTTTTTGATTTTTTTGAATTTTTGTGTAAGGCATAAAAATACACTATACTTTCAATATTGCTTATTTTTATGCTTAAATCATCAGAGCAGGACCCAAATAACATATTCTAGTAGAAAAATTCATTTAAATTCAAAAATGGATACCTTCACCATGGAACAACATTTCATTGAACATTTACAAAAATCCTGATATTCAAAACTATTCACTTCTGAACACAAATTTATGAATATTAAAGGTTTCCTGATCCGGAATGATCAATAATTGTATGAAATTAACATGGAAATTAATGTGTGCAAAGTATTCCATGTCATAAATTCATTTTTGGTACCAAATGGAGACAATAAAGAAAAAATACAGAAAAATGACAAAAATTATAATATTTTCGCCACTTTCTAGAATAAGTAGGCCAAAACTCTTCCGCATCTGAACTTTTCATGTATTTTACTCAATTTGTGACATTGCAGCATCAATAACATCTGATCTTTAGTCAAAGTGCAGTATAGTTTACTATCCGAGTGGATCACATTGTCATATCAATGAACGGAATGGGATCCTCTAGGGGATTCCGACTTATACGAATGTTCCATATGCGAAAGAATTTTTCATATATTTTGCAAATGGAAACGAATGGTCGCGAATGTTTCATACAAATTTTGCGAATGGTGTCGGATGTTTCATACAAATTTGCGGACGGTGTAGAATGTTTCATACACATTTTGCTGATGGCGCATATGAAAAGTCATATTTTTACATTCAAAAAGTCAAAGTGACAGATTAGGTGACAGAGATTCAAGCCGAATTGATATTTTTTTGGTAATATTGAGTGAAATTTTTCTAAAATGGTAAATAAATCTTTGCCACTCGTAATATAATCACTGTAAACGGTGCCTTGTGAAAGGTTTTTATTTTCATTGACGTAACTTTCAATTTCTTTTATATTTATATTATCTGAATTTATTTCTAAAATCTCACTTTTCGAATCGCATACGGCTTCTAAAATAATATTCAACAAATAATCTTGTATTTTTTTCTTCAACAGTTTTTCAAATTCAGTTGAGAACAATGACACTGTGTTTGAAACTGCCACGACAAACTGAACACAGCAATGTGTATGTACAAATGTCACACGACAGTTTGTCGCATCTCGCAAGACGTATGCGGCATTCGCGAATGGTTGCGAATGAAATGTACGAATTTTCATAGATTTTGATGCGGATGGATATATACTTTACTTCGTATATTTCATGTATGAATAGGAAAATGTTCATACATTCCGTATAAAATGGCATTTGCATATACTAAAATGCCCCTAGGGGATCCTGTACCTCTAAAACTTGAAAGCTCTTGCAGCATTCGCCTTACTGGTTATGATTGTGTCACTTAAATCCCATTATCATCCTGAAAGTGTATATTCCTTATAAACAGTACGTATACAGACGTTTTGATTGAAAAGAATTGAAAATTGTGATTAAAATGCAAAAAAATTGAATTTTCCACAAAAAAATTGGAAAATTCATTATAAAGACTTTTTTAACTCCACAAAATGTCTTCAAAATTATTGTGCTACCGAATTGTAAGAATTATACAGGCATATCGGATATTTCACGGCAATATGGATGTTTAAAATTCGTAAATACATACCTTTTTTGTATATATACGTATATTTCGATGAGGTCACCACTTGGTACCGAAAATGAATTTCTGATATGAATTACTGCTGTGTTAGAAAGCTTAAATATTGCACACATCATTTTCAGACAATTGTTGATCATTCCGGATCACAGAACCTACAATTTACGTTCAGAAATGAATCATTTGAAAATTGGAATTTTTGAGATTTTTCGGACGAATTCGATGAATTGTCACTTCATGGTGAAGGTACCATTTTTTAACTTTGCATGGATTTTTTTCTTTTGCAATGTGTTATTTGGGTTCTGTTCTGATGATTTAAGCATAAAAATAAACAATACTGAAAGTATAGTGTATTTTTATGCCTTACAAAAAAATTCAATTTTTTTAAAAAAAATCCAAATTTTTACCATTTTTGATATTTCGCCGTTGATCCGTGACTTCTCAGTTTATATTTTTTTTGCAAAAAAATGACCGATTCGTGATCAGAGGATCCCATAGCCAAGGTTATTACCCTCGCCGTATTTGTTTTTCAATTTTTTCATATTTCTGCTACACCCTAACGTATATCGAAAATAATATGAATTATCAGCAAAATCGTAGAATAATTGAAACGTTGAATTGGAATTTACACTACTGTAGTTTATATCGTAATAAAATGTAAGATTGATTTGTTGACTTGGTATTTACAACGCCAAACGTATTCTCGGTATGAAATAAGCGTCGTTTATGACATTTCGAAAACCAATGAAATGAACATCAAATGTCATAAGGCTCGGTTCACATCAATAATACTAATTCTATATTTAGACATTAGACAATTTTAGCTTTAAAGAGTTTTTTGCTTCGGGAAGTGTCAATTATCAATCGATGCTTTACATTAATGCTACAATTTAAAACAGAATTTTATGCTCTTTAAATTGAAACATACCATTTATTTAATTACAGATATGGGAAACACTCTATTACATATCGATAAACTAGTGCTAAAAATAGTGCGATCAGAGCATACAAAAATGCCGCATTTTTGTTATCATCAGCAGTCCAATTTGTAGCGGCAGAACCGTTTGTCTCGTTTGATTCAAGAGCTGATTTGGAACATGCTACCCATTTTTCTTCATCGTCCAGGAGAACCCCAACCATCGCGAATTTGGAAACAGACGCAATACGCACACGCACTGACTTTCCCAAAAGATTTTCTTTCATTGGTAGCAAAATTTGTTCATAAAATTTATTATGACCCACGTAATATTTTTTATCATGCGAAATATCTGTAACCAAAGCAGTGTATTCATTTCCTATACGATCTGTATATGGTTCATACGAGTTGAAAAGATTTGTCAAATTTTTGGTGCGTATTTTTACCTGAGGATGATCAGAAGAAAAGAATGGAAAAATATGAAATTAATCAATAGGTAATGGAACAGAATGGAAAATAAAATTATAAGAGAAAGTATTTATGAGCAAAACAATGACAATATTGCGTATTGAAATACCATTGAATCATATAGAGTACAAATAACGGAAATTATGAAATATGTAATCGAAATAATTGCATAAGAAAGTTAATAATATATAAAGTATATTATATATGTGTTTTTTACCAAATTGGCGGGAATACGTTTCATTCGTGCAGCTTGTGTTCCTGGTCGAGGATAAAATTGGTTAATAAATAAACTGGGAAATTTATATTTTTCGCACAATGTCATCGTCTCTTCGAAATCAGATTCAGTTTCAGTTGGAAAACCACAAATTATATCAGTCGCAATCGTTATTCCCGGAACTCTATAAGTTAATGATAAAAAAACAATTATTAATGCAAAAAAGACACATTTACGTTTCTTTGCGACACACTGTGTATCACGGAGGACGGCAGTCCCCCAAGTGACGCAATACCCACATACATATGAAATATGTATGTATATTTTGCGTCACTCTATATATACGTTAAAGAAATGAAAATCGATACCGCTGACTTTTGGAAAGGGGTTTTTGCATATTTTAGTAGTGTCCGGGCACGAAATTAAGAATCCGCAAAAAAAATTAAAAAATTTCAAAATTTGGCCGCCAGGTGGCATTTTGAAAAAATCGGTGAAAATTCATTTTTCTCGATTTTTGACCACTGAAATGATTTTTTCGAAATTTTTTTTGGTCATATTCGGAATCTAGGGACCGCGTAGATAATGTAAAAAAAAATATCATCACGATCGGTTGAAAAGTGGCCGAGATATGCCAAAAAAAAGGCCAAAAACCTCAAATTGGCTGTTTGAGGTGTTTGTATGTCTGTCCGTAGTTTCTTTTAAATTGTGTGAAATTATTTTTTTTCGAAAGTAGACTGAAAACTGAGCAAACTAATTTCTCAGTTTCAAAAAATTTGTTGCGTAAGTGGTTTTGGTCTGGGGTCGAATATTTTTGGGAGGCCGTTTTTGAGTTTTTCATCGATCGGACATTTTTCTGGCCATCTGTAAGGTACCACAATGATTTATACGTCGTTGGAAAGGTAAAAGACTCACCTTTCCGGATCCGAAGTCAGAATGGAAAAATTTTCAAAAATGTCCGCCAGGTGGCGTGTTATGTGGCATTTTCGGCGAAAAATGACCATGACTTTTTTCACGTGATCCAAATTTAAAAAAAAATGCGTCTAGGAAAAAATTAAAAAACTAGGCGTTTGTTAGGGACCAAATATGTGATGATTTGGCCTATGTGTCATATCTGGGAAAATTCGTTTTTTTTTTAAAAATACTCCGAAGTTGAAATTTTTTTTTTCGGCAAATTTTCAATTTTTGGCCATTTTTGATCACAGATATACGGGGTGTTCTTTAACAGAATCACGTCATTCTTAGCTTATTGGAAAGTCATTAAGGTCATCTTGATGAAGCAACAAAGAAAGTTTGAAAAAAAATTCAGCGAAAAAGGTTATATCAGAATGACTAGACCTCAAAAAATGGAGAAAAATCGATGAAAATCGAAGTTAATCGTCATTTATCTTGAAAAAATGTATGTCTTGCTTTGATTTTTTCCTCATAGATCGAAAGCGCACTCAATTTTGAGCCGATATGCACATTTTTAAAAACCATCATTGTTTTATTTGGTGAAAATTGGAAAAAGTTTGAACTTAAGCGGCCACCTATATTTTAATATCTTGGTAATCCACCGTAATGTACTAGGTTTTTACTTTTTTTGTTCATTTTGACAACTGATTTTACAAAATTCGGACCCGAGGAATTCAATGGTGGCAACCGTTTTGAGAAATTAGTTCAATTTTTGAGATTTTTCGGCTTGAAACCTTTCTTTTGGAAATTGGTATTTGGGGGTTTTTTGGTACGAGAAAACTGAATATGACATTTATTTTATGATAAAATCAGGTCTCAACACACTTAGCGTTAGAATTTCGTCATAAATTACTAAAAAAATATTGATATAAGTACAAAACACTTCGTTCGAAGTTCTCACTGTGACGCAATATTGTAAATCTGGAAATGTTCTGATATAAATTTTCAGTGACGCGTTCGTTCATATACGCATACAAAATGTTAATATTGCGTCGCCCCAAAAATTCTAACCCAAAGTGATAGACATGTCTAATCTAGTGTCTAATACTTAGAACAGAAAATATACGAAAATCTGAACACGCTTAACAGCACAATATTCGATCTATAAACGATTGTTTCAGTGTTTCTTAATGTTTTATGCATTTATCTATGGATACAGAGGCTGCTATTTGTGCATGTTGTGCGTTATTTTCTACATCTCGCTCGTACTCACATTCAAATGTACAAAGAATAGTAGGCTATGATATTCCAACTCGGTGTTAGCACACGAATTAAATAGCGCCTATGAAATAGCAACCGCTTTATGCATAGCTCGAGCTTAATGTTGGATTTATTTTCATATATTTTTTGTGGTGAAAGAGGCGACGCAATATTAACATTTTGTATGCGTATATGAACGAACGCGTCACTGAAAATTTATATCAGAACATTTCCAGATTTACAATATTGCGTCACAGTGAGAACTTCGAACGAAGTGTTTTGTACTTATATATATATACACTCCGCGAAGAAAAGGATAGACGCAATAACATTTTTCCAAAAATCTTATTTAAAAAGCATAGCTTTCTTTGTCAATTTATTTAGCAACTATTTCTGCACACATCACAAAAAGATTTATCAAAAAAAATTTAAGAATTTAATTGTTTCAAGTTTTTCGAAATTTTGTACTCAAAAAGTGCGAAATAAGGATAGACGCAGTCACTGTTTTGCTTCTAACAAACAGTGCACTGTTGTTTACATTTTTATGATATGTGTTGATGTGATATGTGTTGATGTGACATTAAAAGATTTTCTGCACATGTCAAACCGTCAGATAGGAAAAAAAATAAATAGAAGTGAAAAAGATGTGCGAAGTTTCCTTCGAAATCGTGAAAATTACGGCCAAAACTAAAAAACTGGTCGGCAAACAGTGGTTTCTGCTGCTGAAAAACGGCTATTAATTCGAAATGCTGCCAATAATTTCAAATCTGCCCGGCAATTGAAAAATGAAAACAATGTATCGGTTGGTGTTCGACGTGTTCAGCAGATTTAAAGTGCTTGTAAACACCTAAAGTACACAAAAATGAAGCGCAAATCAATAGTTGTCGCCGGCCAATATTGACGATCGTTTGAAGTTCGCTAATGATCACATTCTATGGCGTAAAATTATTTTTTCGGATGAAAAAAAGTTCAATCTGGATGGACCAGTTGGTTTTGCCTATTATAGGCACGATTTACGTACTGAACCATGGATTTTAAGTAAACGTCAATCTGGCGGTGGTTTAGTAATGATGTGGGGAGCCATTGGTTACCTAAAAAAGGTGCCGTTAATATTCATTTCCTCCAGAATGAGCTCAGAACAGTATCAGCAGATAATTGGCCCTCTTTTCCCTGCATATGGTTACGAATGTGCTGGATTGAATTGGAAATTTCAACAAGACAACGCTTCGATACATGTGGCCCGATCAACTTTGGCCTACTTTGAGGAACATGGAATCCACTTTTTCAACAATTGGCCGGCAAAATCGCCAGATATGAAACATAATTGAAAACGTTTTGGGCATTCTGGCTTGAGAAGTTTATAAAGAATGTCGTCAATACAACAGTCAAACTGAATTGTGGAAGTGATCGAGACGGCCTGGCGAAACCTTTTCGAGAGAAGAATTCAATCACTGTATGACAGTCTACCAGATCGGATGCTTGCGTTTCATGATGCCCGAGGTAAACACACCAATTACTGATCAAGAATTTCAGGAAAAGTTTGTTTTTAAAATCAAAAACAATGACTGCGTCTATCCTTATTTCGCACTTTTTGAGTACAATATTTCTAAAAACTTGAAAAAAATAAAATTCTTAAAATTATTTTTGATATATCTTTTTGTGATGTGTGCATAAATAGTTGCTAAATAAGTTGACAAAAAATCACAAAGAAATCTATGCTTTTTAAATAAGATTTTTGGGAAAATGTTATTGCGTCTATCCTTTTTCCGCGGAGTGTATGTTGGTATGGCATCCCGTGATATGTATAATGCTACATCATCCATTGTAGAAAAAATGGATATAAAAACAATCAACGTTTATTCAATAGGGTGGAACATTTTTGGCATAATTTTATGACCACTTGGAAATACATGTCTTATAGTCCAAAGATTCAAGATATGAAGGAATTTTCAACTTACGGTTCCATATAAGACAGCGACTTGAAAGGAATGGAGGTACATTTTACTGGAAAATCATGAAAAATTGCCACCATGAAAACTTGTGAATCTTATTTTCTTACCAAAATAAGTAATATCAA